TGGTTGATCGGAGCTGGCTTGGCCCTGACTTATCGAAGGATTAAGGAAGCGGAACCGGCTGTTCAAACCCCCACAAGGCTGCCCGCTGGGATTGGAACGATGGGAGAGGCTCAGAATAAGATCTCTGACTGCAGACTGGATGACATCTCGGGGAGGCACACTGCTGTGAGTTCTCAGAATCGGCTCCTTGAGCACAAGAAATGACGACATCACAGAACGCAAGTATGGCGAAGCTCACGGCTCTCCAACGGGAGATTGAGAGACCAGTGTTGGACTGTAGAACTGCTTTGAAATTCATATGAGCTGTTCGCACTAAAGTAAAAACCTCCATCACTTTTGTGCATACCCCTTCGGCACCAGCTGTGGGCTCAAGGCTGGAGCCGAACAACAACACCCTGATAACGACTGTGTGATGACTATTCTTCCTATTCCATGCAAGGCCACCTGGGTTGGCTGTTAGACTGTTTACTTAGCCTGGCAGGGAGGAGGACACTGTCTCAGCTGAACTATGGACACGCACACACACACACATATACTGATACTGATAAGCACTCACTGAAGCATCACCCTCCCTACCCTGGATCCAACGCCACCTCCAACGCTTACCTCCCCTCTGATGTGGACATCGGGTCAGCTGGAGGCGCAGTCGAAGATTGCAGCGGTCCCAGATCAGATGTCCACACTGGAGCTCTTTCCCATGTTGCTGTCTGTGTTTATTGTGCTATGGTGTGTTGATATCTGTGCATTCCTGTATTATCCTTCTGTGTCACACATTTTGATGTTTTTTTCCTCGCCCGACCTGTCTCCCCAATGTGATGTTTGTATTGTATGTATTGTACGGTCGGCAAGGTCTGTCATCTCGGTTGTGGGCAAAAGACCTGCAGCTGACAAATAAAGGCTATCTCATCTCATCATCGTCTCTTTCTTGATCTTCATCATAACTGAAGTGGAAGATGTGTAGTCCTCTGACACATCTTCTATTTCACTTCATAGCCTTCTTCCACTCCTGTGGGTGGGTGATGTGGGGGCTTCTTCAGAGAAAGGGTAGCATGTGCTCTAAATATTGGCAACATTTTCTTTATCTTCTAACTCTGGATCTTCCTGAACATTGATTCTTCCTCATTATACTAGAGGACAATATGTGCTTTGTTCTGCTGCTCATCATTTTCCACAACATGGTAATTTTTTTACTTTTCATACTTTCTGTGTATGCATCACTGTAGGGTCGACCTTACAACATGAAGCACCTCGAGGCGACTGTTGTTGTGATTTGGCGCTGTGTAAACAAATTGTGTTGTTGGTAAGTGGCCTGTATTTGTATAGCGCTTTACTAGTCCCAACTCTTGAGCCAC